GACTATGGGGTGGGTTTGGTCGCCGTCTTGGTCTCAGTGGTGATCGAACTATTGGCCGAACCGTTGTATGTGTTCGGACAGACGCTATGGTTTATCAAACTCAAAGTGGCCGCCGACGGCCTCTTTCTAATGACCCGCACTTTAATAATGGTTGCGTTGATCTCCTATTGGCCGCAACGGGCAGTACTAGTGTTTTCCGGGGCACAGATTTGCGGCTCATTGCTCTACGTATGCCTGTATTACCTGTACTTTATTTGCGTCGATAAGCAACAGTTTGGCCACTTTATGCCCGATTGGATGGATTCAAACATGGTACTGTTCTGTACTGTACTGTACTGTACTGTACACATTGTCATTTGACAATTTCACTGATTTTTATAACAATCAATTATTTATCTCATACCTGACCTGTCCTTCCCTTCAGCCCCATATCGACCGCTCACTTATAAGGATAACAATGAGTTTTATAAAGAATACAACACTTAAACAGTTGCTGACAGAAGGCGAACGATTTGTGATGATATTCTTCCGGGTGTTGACGTCCGCCGAAAAGGGTGTCTACGATGTGGTCAATAATGTCGCCTCAATTCCGGGTCGACTCGTGTTCGCACAGATAGAAGATTCCGGTTTTGTGTTATTCACGCAAAAGATTGACCGCCAAATGTCAGCCACCGATCAATCATTCATCGAAATGACAGAATCGGCGACAATTGTCCGCAATTTTATAAAACTAATGACTTTATTCGGTTTAATTGTATTGACGTTTGGCTTTAATTACTCTGAGTTGGCGTTACTCTTGTGCGGCGGACACCAATTGGTTGCCGCTAATAACGGATTGGCCACTCAGCTGTTGCAGTGGCACTGCCTTTACATTCTGTTTTTGTCCGTTAATTGTATGACAGAGTGTTTTACATTCGCGGCCACTAATTCCCGACAATTGGATTCGTTTAATAAGTATATGTGTAGTATTTCTATTGCATTCCTCTTCAGTCTGTATCTGTTGCCCAATTGGTTCGGTTGTCAGGGCTTTATAATGGCTAACTGTCTTAGTATGGGCGCCAGGATTGTCATCAGGTTTGGCCATAACGTTGTAGTATTTCTATTGCATTCCTCTTCAGTCTGTATCTGTTGCCCAATTGGTTCGGTTGTCAGGGCTTTATAATGGCTAACTGTCTTAGTATGGGCGCCAGGATTGTCATCAGGTTTGGCCATAACGTGCATTAAACCCGTATTCTGTCATTAATATGACTTATACTTCTTTGAATCACTTTTAGTGTACGATTTATCAAAAGCTATTACAGAACCACAGAAATTGATGAACCATTCAATGGATCCATTCCTCACCTTTGGACTAATGTCTCGTTTTTAGCAACTTTTGTATTACTTTTTATGATAAAGGTTTGGTTTTTCAACATTTTATGAAAATGTATTATAAATTTTATTATTAATTGTGATTACATTTGATACCCATTTTTAATAGCCATACCTTTGCTGTACCGGCGACTCAACCATTCCAACCATTGTTTATGTAATGTTAGGCTTAATCTCTCTTACGATTAATTTAATTGTGATTTACGTAAAAGAGAGAGATTTAGTTATATTTGTTAATAATTTATATAAATTCTGAGCACAAATTCTATGATAATATTATAAATATTTTTATACGTAATAAATGTTGTATAAATTATTGTTAAATAAAAATTAAAAATAATTAATACTTTATAATTAAATAGTTTTGATAATTTGAAAACTAATTGTGAAGCAATTAAACTCCAATTACTAATCAATCAATGAATCATTTATTTTAAACTTAACGTCGTTTTGGACTTTAGTTTTTAGTCTTAGCTTTGAGTCAAATATTGCACTTAAATTAAATTATAAATACTCATAAGATTAACATTATCCATAAGAATAGCATTATCGGACCACGTGATAATAAGCATGATTGATATATGATTTATAACAGTAAATTAGAGAATAAGTAATTTTACTATGACGGATACTGTAGTCCGGTTCGGCCTAAATATATCATTCATGAATCATAATAATAAAACGAATATTAATTCATACATGTATTAATAGTTAAAATTAAAGTTTTATATTATAAGGGATTTTAATAGTATTGTTGTATATTTAAAAGTTTTGGCGAAAATGCAATTTTTATCATTTACTGCTAATGTACAATTATATTTAAAACACTACTAAAATAAACGCCAATATTTTTCGCTCATTTCTAATCATTAATAGGTTTGATAAAAAATGTAATTAATTTTGTATAAAAAATTTAATTAATTTTATTTAAATTCAAAAAGTAATTACAAATTAATGAAAATTAACTCAAAAACATCTCGTTATAATGAAAACATATGAGAATTATTTTATAATTAATTTTGTGATCAATTATCACGAAAACGATAATTGAATTAACAAACAGTGATTTGAAACAAATTTCCAAACAATAATATCTTAATAATTGTATTCAAAATATGAGTTATTTTTTAATTAGAAATCTTTTCAAATGTGAATATTTTTGTGGTTAATATAAACGCCAATAATTTTCGCTGATTTCCAATCGTTTAGAGGTTTGAGAGTAATCTGATTGTCGTCATTACCGGTAGAGACTCTAATGGTCTGTATTTTAGGCAATAATGACAATGAATTCAATATATTGTCTGTTATTTTCTCGCAATTAATGGACAAATATTGAAGTTTCGGGAAATTATTGGCAAAATTTGATGAAAAAACAATATCCTCATAACCGGCGGAACGAATAGTTAAATGTGTTAATTGTTTACATTTAGCCAACGATTCACTCATGAATATATCATTTTGAGGAAAACAGCCGTCGATTTGCAAACGTTTCAAATGATTGAAGTAATCATTAATTGTTTGAATCATTTTCGAAAAGGTTTCGTTTGATTGGAATAGAATAAAAAGCGATAGTCTCTTGAGTTTACGGCAATTAATACCCAATCGTTTAAAACCATCGAATAATATATTGCCAGACATGACATCAATCTTAATATCAATTAATTCAGTCATTTGTGACAAACCATTGATTAGTATTGAATCCTCCAAAACTTTAGAACATTTAAATGTTTTCATTTGTTTGGCATATAATCTCACAAATGCCTCAAAACTCATGTCTTCGTGACCACAACTTAAGCAAACTTTTTCTAATTTCTTAAACAATATCTCATTTTGATTACCACTCAATAATACAGACAATGAATAGAAAATAGTGTCAAATTGTGTCAAATTTGTGCACCATTTGAGTCGTTGTTCAATAAGTTCTTTGTCTTCTGCGAAACCTTTCATTTGAGAAGATTTCAATTGTTTTCCATATTTTGTGAAAAACTTGTCAATAGTTTCCGCGTTTCCATAACTGTTAAGAATATAACAAATTGAATGCAATTTATGGCAGTATTTCATAATTGATTCCAAACTAGTCTTCAATGAAATGTCTTCAATAGTTGTAATGTTTTTACATTTTTTTAGTATTAATTCAAATGTTTTGTCACTTATATTGTCTGTGATTTCAGTTGGGATCTCGTATTGAGTCTCATATATAACTCTCTGCCACTGTTTGGACACCTCTTCGTATCGGAACCGCTCTTCAAATGACAGATAAGTCAACAATAGTTGACACAAATCATCACCGAATCTGTCCATTGATTGTCGACTATTTGTGTCACTTTTGAGACCAACTCTTCTTCTCTTCATTTCATTCATTATTATTCATTCAATTGTTGTTTGTATTCAACACTCAATCACTTCTTGTGGTTATTCTTCCACTTCTTATGAGACAATACTTTGCATTCAATTCATATAAATCTACAAAACATTAATTAATTCAATATTAATTACAAATTGAAATAAAATACAAATCAATTCATTAAATAATACTTACATTTGAAGTGAATTTGAAACACAATTAATGCACAAAATATGAACACAAATATTACACAAAGACCTCAGACATGATTATCACATGCTTTGCATTCAACAACAGTTTGTGGTCACTCTCTGGCAATAACTGGTTTGTGGTTACCCTACAAATGTATGGCCATTGGTCACCCTATTTCAAAACAAACAATCAAAATCAAGAATATTTCGTCACGTCTTTAATGAATGAGAAAACAATTTTTGTTTTGACAACAAATGAATGAAAACAAAATACAAATGCATTTAAATTGTGTTTAAATTGAGTGCAAAAGAGTATTGAGTGTAAGAATGCTATGAAAATGGATTCAAATGAAATCAATTCAATGATCAGTAAAAACATTTCGTGGAATAAATTACCAGAAAATGTGAAACAGGTTTGTATTGGAAACACATTTTTGCCATTCATTTGAGGTTTGAATTGAATTTGTATTCAATTAACAGAGTATTGGAAACAGCGATGAATACGACAAAAAGGTCCTCGAGTTTAGTGTCAAGAATCAGATGAGATATCGCAAGAACTTAGGTTTGTATTCATTGGTCGCATATGTCTTCATATCTAATGTCTGTTTGTGTCCTCCAAAGTGAGACACATAGAGAAGAGTGCGAAGAGTTATTACGAAGAAGTGCTGAGATATAGTCGACAACACTATATGCTATTTCCATACCATTTGTCGGATATAATTGTATGTATTATTGACTTAATATATAATGTGTTGATTGTCTGGCATTGAATGTGGTTTAGGTCTCGGGAATGAGAATAACTCCCTTTCAATACTACATTCAAATGTTATGCGATTTGTTGGAAACGGAGAGGAATTACGACACTTTACCCAACTTTACGGCCGCCGACTGTTTAAGACTTCTAGGAATCGGTCGAAACCAATACATAGATCTCATGAATCAGTTCAGGTCTTCGAAGAAGTTTTTAGGTATGATTCGAAAGCCCGTTAAAGACCTGTTGCCCAACAAACCGGTCAGTAATATGTTGATTGACTTTTGGTGGACAATAAATCCGGGATATATTACTGAAGACGACGTGAAACATATGGTGACCCCATCTGAGAAGATAATCATCGATAGAGTGCTTACCGACGATCCCATTCCCTCACAGCTGAGGACAGGAGAAGTGAATCAAAACGATGTGCGAAGTCTTTACCAAAAAGGACTCATCTATTTTGATATAACGATCCAAGACTCAGATCTCATACACATTCCTCCACTTGAAAACTTTGTGATGAATCGCGTGACCGGAGATTACTTCGAGACTCTATTGTATAAAATATTTGTATCGATTGATGAAAAGACAACAGTTTGTGAATTAGCGAATGTCTTGCAGATCGACTCTTCGCTCGTGAAGAATGCCATTTCCATGTATTGCCGATTGGGCTTTGCTTTTAAAAAGAACCTCGACTTGACTCTCGATGATTGTCACTCTTCGTGGACCAACTCTTCGCCGCGACTCTCAGTCAGCGATAGCAACAGTAATAGTAAAGCCGTTGAGGGGAAGCAAAACATCTCTAAATTCATTAGTTCTCTTCCAAATGAGGACGAACTCAGTAGCGAAGGCGTCGATGTGTTTGGATCCGAGTCCGAGTCCAACACCAAAGATAAACTCTCGACTCAAAGCTCGATAAGTAGTAGTAATCATGTGATGGCAACCAATTCGAGTGATAGCAAAAGGATAGGCCTGTTATATGATTCAACTTTGGCCGCATTCCTAATGATGGGTAATTTGGCGCCGGGGCTGAAGAACCACGCGGTCACTATGTTTGAAGTCGGGAAGTTGTCCGACGAGTCCATCGATAGCTTATTACTCGAATTGTCTAAAATCAGTGATTCAGACCTCGAAGAAGATGGCGGTGAAGCGCATCGGTATTTCCTTCACGCCTCGCAACTCTACCGAACGGTACAATTCTTAAGACATAACCCGGAGTTGACATCGAGTCTGACAGAGGATCCGACGGAATCGCATTCGGGATTGGGTTTGGATTTGATTCGATGCGAAAGTCTATTGAATTTAGACTCCGAAACGTGTCAACGATTATTGTTAAAAAACTATAGACTTCTTATATCAGTCGCGCCGCTCAGTAATGAGACCCGAATTATTACAAATGATTTGCTCCCATATTTCGGGGCCACTCCTCTCGTCAATTCAATTTGGTTTAAGTTATTTCTATATTCGTGTACTTCTTGTGGACCGCCTTCTCTTCTCTTATCAAAAGGCGTTCGTTTGAATCAATTGCCGGAAATATTTATGAATTTTGAGGCACTAATGATCACTCCGTGGGCTCGAGATCCGGGCATTATTCCCATTTCTGGCGCTTTGATGGCAATCAATGAGTCGACCACTTATAGCCCAGTCCTCGTTCAGGCGTACCCTAAGAATAGTATTCACATATCAGACAAAGAATTGTTTTATTTAAGTCTTCCGTTTCTCGACAAAAAGGACGACAAAAGTGATTCACTTGAAAGTCATCCGTCAGTGACTGCACTCTCAACTCAAATCAATTTAGAGAGAATTTGTGGTTATATTACACTAATTAACCTCAATTCACACGATTGCACACAACAGCTCACGAGTGATGAGTCCGAGAGTTGCGACAATTGGACTCTTTTTGACTGTCATTTCGGTATTCCTTTATTCGACCGAACGTTGAATAGAAATGTCTGCAACAGAATGGCAGCCAATGATCTCTTCAATCCAAACAAGTAATACTTTTATTGAAATTATTATCAATTCTTTTTACATTTTATTAAATTATTTTTTGTTTAAAACTTGTCTATTGTTTAGATTAACGGATTTGATTGATTCAAATAAACGTTTGTTCGCTAATATCGAGTCATTTATCGAGAGTTATTCAAAACAAGGCAACGAATCCAAACATTTGTACACTTTTCCCAATTCATCCAAATATGAATCGATAGTTCCGTTGCCCTCGACTTCTATCATATTCTTTGACGGAGAGCTCAAAGAGTGGAAACAAAATCAATGATTGTTTTGTTTGTGGCGAAAATTAGCTGCTTTTTGGGATAAATATATTATTTAATATTTTAATATATAAATGAAAAATAATTTTAAATGTAAAACAAAATTACAAACAAATAATTTAAAAATATATAAATAATTTATAATCTAATGAAATAATGAATAAAATTTATTCAATAAATTATATTTATTTGCAAATATACTTTGTACTTTGTCAATTGAATCTCATTTTACAGTAATATTAGATTTTATAAAAGCATTCCAATTGAGTACGTCTTCTATGAATGGCCCCAAAAATTGCAATTTTCAGCCATTTTTGGGACAAAACTTTTATTTCGCGTTAAAATTGATTTGATTTGAAAACTAATTAAAACTTAACCAAAGAGTTGACTAATACTGGGATCAGATTGAGTGATTAACATTTGTACACTTTTCCCAATTCATCCAAATATGAATCGATAGTTCCGTTGCCCTCGACTTCTATCATATTCTTTGACGGAGAGCTCAAAGAGTGGAAACAAAATCAATGATTGTTTTGTTTGTGACGAAAATTAGCTGCTTTTTGGGATAAATATATTATTTAATATTTTAATATATGAATGAAAAATAATTTTTAAGTAAAACAAAATTACAAACAAATAATTTAAAAATATATAAATAATTATAACAATAAATATAACAAATATTTATAATATATTATATATAATATATAATATATTAATAAATATAACAAATCTAATGAAATAATGAATAAAATATATTTATTTGCAAACTAATTTATACTTTGTACTTTGTAACATTATACTTTGTAATGTATTGTCAATTGAATATCGTTTTACAGTAATATTAGCTTTTATAAAAACATTCAAATTGAGTACGTCTTCTATGAATGGGGGTTTTTAACGTTAAAAGTCGGTAAAAACCCTGTTTTGAAAATAAAGCGCAATTTTAACTAAACTAAACTTTTGATTAATTTTGAATTGGTTTCTCAACTGATTATGACCCTAGTCTAACTCACTAGAATGGGAAAGAGTTGTTGCACTGTCCGACCCCTGGATGTACTGGAATGGGACACATATCTGGCAATTATGCCACACATCGAAGGTATGGCCCAAATGGTAACGATAATTGAATTGTCTGTTAACGGATCCCAATGTGTGATAGTCTGAGCGGATGTCCGAAAGCAGATAAGGCACAGGTTTTGGTCGCACAACAGGAGATCAAGTTCTGTCCGACGCCCGGATGTGACGGTTCCGGTCATATCACTGGCAATTACACGAGTCATCGCAGTCTGAGTGGATGTCCTCGCGCTCGAGACTTCAAACTCAAGAAGACTTTCATCAATAGGTTTGTCCACCAAAACAATGATCTCTTGAAGTAAGCTCTTGTCTGTCGACTCGTGGCTCACCTCTCACTTCCAATTTGTTTTCTGTTGATATATGTGTCCATTCAGTCCTGCGATGACCTCTTTTGCCAACAAATTGAAAGTTGAAGTCATTTCCGACAACAGAGACCACCAGAAGAGTGAATCCAGAGTTATTACTTTGAATGATGTTTTGAAGAACGAGCTAAAAGAGGCGGAAATGGCGAGAAATAATGCCAAAAATGACGGCCAGTCGTGTCCGACACCGGGTATGTGTTTTGTGTCAAATTAATGATTGCATTGATTGACTGGAGTTCTCGCTGAAGGGTGTGATGGCAGCGGACACATCACCGGCAGTTTCCTAACGCACAGAAGTCTCTCCGGGTGTCCGCGCGTTACCGCAAACCTAGAATTGTTTGATCCTAAGAAAGATGTCACTCTATTAGACAATATTGAGGACAAGAATCACAAAACCAATCCTCCAAACGGTATTTCCGGACGAATGAATGGCAAATATTTGGGTTCAGATAAAGTGATGATCACTTCGTCGACGGACGACATGCAAGTGATTGAGGACCAGATCTGTGAACTCCGCGATTATAACACCAAAATGGAGTCCGAATTGAATCGAATTAAATCAGAATATTTACAATTAGAGCAACAAATAGAGTCTCACGAAAAGGTGAATCAATTAGCAATTTATGTCATTTAATAATCACTTATTTTTAATTATATTGTTTAGGAAAACAAACAACTGATGGGAACGACTGAAAACCTGAACCAATACTATCAGAGTTTGCGAAACAACTTATTAGAACTCTTAGAGACCATTCATTTTCCCGACTGTATTGAAGAGCCGCCTTTTGTAAAATAATGTTCTAAAAATCATTTACAGTAAAAATAATTAATGGAGTTTTATATCTCCAGGAATGACCCCTTCCTGGAGCCTGGAGAAATTGTCAAATTCCTGAATTCTCCAGGACGTTCCTGGAGGTCTGGCAACCCTACATGATATGCAGTACATTAGGTAATACGATATTAATTACTTTAGGCAATATTGTAACTGTAATTGAAAAACTATTCAAACAATTACTGTGCGATAAATGGCTTGAATTACACAGATTTACAGATATTTAAAATACAAACTATTGGTTAGAACTTTGGATGGATTGAGGAAACAGTGATCGACAGATACGTGTTGTCCTCATTTAGGGCTCACTTGATATGAATCGACACTTTTTCATGTGATTTGTGTAAATCAGTGGGTATTTGGCGGTATATCTGCGATAATTGTGATAAAACAAGTCATACGGCACAGGGATGTAGAGGTGGAGGTTATTGTTAGCCATTATGATCACTGATCAGCATATGTTATGTAACGGCAATCAAACAATTGACGGAACATTGAGTATATTTATTGAATAATTGAATAATAAGATAAATTGTAATACATTTTTGCAATAAAATTATAAATACAAACAAATAATTAAACATATAATAAGAATAGCCATCAATTAAAATGCGAATCCATTCGCGTAATTAAATATTGATTATTAAATATCAAATCGTTATAAATATATGTAAAAATCAAAGACCAAATCCAAAGTAATTCCGTGATCACACATCTGGTACCGAGTGATCCATAAGTCTCTTCACTAAACTGGTGGCCATTCTGTTGCAAACAAATTAAATTTAAATCAAACGCTTTTAAAGCTTATGTAAAATTATAAAAAGTATTAAAATCAATGTTTTCGTAAGGAATGATAAAATCAATTAAAGAGATAAGAACTCACTGTTTCATCATATGGTCGAAGATAAACGATGGCATAATTGTAAGAGTGATCACATTTCCACCCGATTCCATGAGACTACGAACTGACTTGTCATCGACTCCGACCACATTCTGGCCATTGATCTCCAAGAAGTTATGCTCTGTAAGCAAACCATTGCGTGCGGCCGACGAGTCCTTCACTATAGCGTTGATCTTTCCGTTTTTGAATGTGAAGCCCACGTGACCGACACTGTCCTTATGAAGAGTGATCACTCGTTCAAACGGTCGGTCTCTCACCACCAGATGTATGCCATTGACGGCCGACTTCTTGATTATGTCGTGAATTTTGTCGGTCGAAAATCCGGCCACATTTTCGCCGTTCAATTGCAGGATCTGATCGCCAAATCTGAGGCCAACCATCGCTGCGGGAGAACCGCTTTGAACAAACACTACGAATATGCCCTAAAATACAACAAATGGCCACAATTTATGTTATCATTCGTGTTATCATTGGTCGGAGTCTATCATTCAAACCTTGTTTATGTCTTTGACTCTCAGACCAACTTTGGAGTCCTTGTCTTTGCAAACGTGCACTTCTCGGATGCCATGCGTGACATTGGCTCTCAATAGGCCGACAGAAGTGCCCGAAACGGGTGCGACCATCGATGCGTTGGCCAACGAAACCGTATTGCTTTGCGGAATAGAGACAGCGTTTGATTGGTTCTGAATGACAGCCACTTCTTGGGATGTGAGCGAAAGTCCCATCCAATCGTTAAGCTCCGGATATATTGGACCTAATTTGGCATCACTTGGCATCGGTTGCGATGACGGGTAAAGTGTGGGATACGGGGCCGACGGCATCGACACCATCGGCATCGATGGCACCACAAATGGCTGCTGTTGTTGAGCCTAAGATTGACCACAGATTAGGTGACAATGGGTTGGAAAAGAAATGCAATAGCAATACATACTCTCATCATTTGGTCCACTTTCATGTCCTCCAGTGATGGATAAAGTGCTGACATTTTGACTATTGATTGGTTTGACTAATGAGTGGCAGAGGAGTGACAATGAGATTGAATTAATTGGCAATTAATTGCTGAAAGTGTTTGTATTTGTGATACAAATGCGAAACAAACACTTGAAAACTCTCTCTCGCATTGTATTGACGCAAATGTCTCACTCTTTCAGTATTTCATACATCGCTTGAAAGTGCAGTAAATATCATATGTTTGTCATTACTAGGGTTGGAATAATACAAAAAATTTTCGAAGCTTTGTATTATACAATGTATAATACAAAAATCCTTGTATTATACTTGTATTTTTACTTACTATGGGGAAAAATTTAATATGTTTTAAAAACAANCTTGTATTTTTACTTACTATGGGGAAAAATTTAATATGTTTTAAAAACAAAATTTAACAGTTTTAATGCATTTATCTTATTAACTATACATGTTATATTGTTTTAATTAATAATTGTATCACATAGAACGGTTGATTCAATTGCTTTTTCAAACAATTTTCAGGTGTTTTGACGTGTTTACAACATTTTACCAATAGGTGGCGCTGTACCACTTTTGTATTATACAAAAAGGCAAATTTTGCTTTGTATTACACAAGGAATAATACAATGAATAATACAATTGTATAATACAAATTTTGTATATTGCCAACCCTAGTCATTACAGTCTCCTCTCAATGGCCTTTACTCTGTATTATATACCAAAATAAATGATTCAATCATTTCTCGACTCCCTATTGGTTCACAGAGTTGTGCATAACTTTCAATTTACAGACAACTCTATTACAGTACAATAAAAGCTTTACAATCTTGATATAATTGCAATCATTTACAATTAAATCCATAGTATTTAACAATCAAATCATTTTATTCATATAAATATAGTTATAATACAATTGTTTAATACATTTGGTGTGTAATTTGCAAATGAGTTTACTTTGATTTAAACCATATTTCAAGTAGTCTTACAATAATTATTGAATAAAATGCTCAAAAATGTGCAAATCTTTCTTTAATTACAGATCAAGGCTTTAATGGATGTGTTTTATTAGTGACTGTTTTAACAGTTATTGTAATCTTGTTTTAAACTTTTTTAGTTTCACTGATTTATTAATTTGAAAAAAATATTTAAAATCAATTCAATTGTTATATAATTATAAGTTAACACTTTTCGATATCACAATTGGATTTAAGTGAACAATACTTTAACGCAATAATCAAGTGTTGATTCATTAATATGTAATAAATTATTACTAATAATTAATAATAATTTAACAATAAATTACTAATTGTTTCGTAAGAATGATTTAAAGTGATTAACAAATGCATAAATCAAGTCATAAATTGACAGAAAAATCTCTCAACACATGTCTTATGGAAGAGAAGACTAAGCGGTTCTCGTTTTTATAACTCTCAACACAAATGGCTTGTAATTTGTCAAGAAATTGGTCGAAATTGTGTTCATTTGGCGGCTCTTCAATACAGTCGGGAAAATGAATGGTCTCTAAGAGTTCTAATAAGTTGTTTCGCAAACTCTGATAGTATTGGTTCAGGTTTTCAGTCGTTCCCATCAGTTGTTTGTTTTCCTAAACAATATAATTAAAAATAAGTGATTATTAAATGACATAAATTGCTAATTGATT